GGAAATCTTATCTGTCTAAATTGATAAACTGCAAATGGATAAAATCAGCTTACTTTTCAGAATAGCATGTTAATCTGAACACAATGATTATATATTAGTTAGTTTTCTGTAAGTACTTTGTGTTGAGGCTATGTTTTTTAAGTATCTTTGATATAAAACAACATATGTTGAAAACTCCATCTGTTCTGCAGTGAGATTTTCTAATCATTGTAATAAAGACAAAGAAGAACGAAACCTTCATTGAAATAGAATGGAATGCAATTTGTAGAAATTGACTGTTTGTAAATAATATAATATCATTGACACAGGAAGTTTTAATCCATGAGTAAGAGTCCTTATTAGTTGCAATTAAAGAAGTGTGTGTGTATCCAACAGCACTCTTAAGCAGATGCATATTAAAGATTCTTTTATTTATCTCCTTCCCATTTCAGTTAGCTTCAGTTAGCTAGTACTTCTTGAGAAGTACTTGCACACACATACTTCAGCACCTAGGATAGAACCCATTTCTTTAGAAACCCTGAGTGTTGATTTTAGACAGTACAATCTGATCTCTCTGTACCTTCAAGGCTCATAAGACTAAGAGTTTACACTCAGTTGGCATTTAGCATTTTTTTTCCATCAGTGTGTCATGTGGATAACTCATGTCTCCTCATATGAATTGTACATAATTTGTACAAATCAGGGTCAGGATTACAATTGGAAAAAAATGGCACATTCAAAGTAGTATACAAAATTTTATCTATGAAGGGGCCACTTGTCAAAGAAAAGGGATATGTAACAACCTTTGGCTAGTATTGATTTAGCCATTAACACCTGAAGTGAGAAGGATAAGTAAGCTGTTACTAGAACCTAGAAGGAGGGAATCCTATAGGTTCTGAAGTAATAGAAGCAGTAAGTTTTAGTTGAGGAACATAGCCAGACTTACATGTTTCCAGTGGGTGAGAACCAAGAAAGTAAATACCATGCACTAACTTTATTCTCTTCATTTAATTAATAGTAATAGTAAATAGAAATTAATTTAATTCGTCTGGTTTCATATTGGCCACAGCCAACAAAAACTCAGAAATCACCGGGATATTATTTATTCAATAAAAATTTTGTGTCCTTGAAAGAATACACAAAGTTCCATCTGCTACTGTTTCTTTGTAGAGTGGTATTAGTCCAGTTTATATAGCTGTCTGAAATTTATTACAGTCAACACTTGTGCTTTTCATATAAGGTTTTGGGGCAAAAGCCCCCATTAAGAAAAGAAATAAGATTATCATATGGCCTTAACTGGTAATCCCAGCTCCCTCTGTCAACTACTCATTCATTTTTCCTTTTCCTTCTGCCAGCATTTTGACTACACAGGTCATTTACGTGGTGGATCAAACCAAAATTTTATCCTTGCCAAATCTTATTCCTTTGCTTCTTTTTCTTAATTAGGTTGCTACAATTTCAGTTTTCCATTGGAATGTGGAAATGTAGAATTGGAAAATGAGATCGATTCGGACAAAGGAGTATTTCTGAATCTGCTGAGTCTAGATATATTCTTCTTCACTCTCTTTTGTAAAGTGAAGATACATATTCTTCCTGGCGGATGAGCTTAATCATCAGACACATAGTACTATGTATTCTGTCAGGTTTTTTTTTTTTTCCCCAGTCCTATTGAGGCCCACATGATCAGGGGGAAATCTCAGCTTCCAATTCAGAGGAACAGAATTAAGACATTCCCTGTTGGAAGCAATTCCCCCTTAGGCATTAGGATTTCTAAACCCACTGATCTCCTTTTCATGAAGACAAGAAGTCTAGTGGAGTAATGGTGTGATAGTGATAGAGAATGCTACACTTCTACCCCTTAGTTCCTAGATTTGTGCTTTCTGGCTATGCGAGAGGGGCACATGTATGCTGTATATGACATCCCAACTTCAAGGTTCTTATAGTCCCAAAACCGAGATAGAGAAGACTAGTTAACACTTCCATCCAATGAGGTACATATAGCTAATAGAAAACAGTGAATTTCATGGTCTGAGCCTATTGCCCTTTTTGCTATAAAATACTTTCTGTTTGGTGGTGATGTAGGGTGGATTATTGTAGTAATGGATAAGCTATTCTGTAAATCCATGAATAGCAGTACTGACAGGACTTGAAGCAGCAGAGGCATAGCTATACCAGAGTATGTGTCTGTCCCTGTAATGACAAAATGCTACCCCTTCTTGATGGAATGCTTCCCACGTAATCTACCTGCCACCAGGCAGCCAGCTGGTCCTGCTGGGAAATAATGCCATGTCAAGAGTTTAATGACAGCCACTATCATTGGAAGGTAATGGTGAGAGCCAAAGCAGACCAACATGCGCTCTGTAGTCATATTGTCCATCTGATTATTGAGAGCCTCCTCTGCTATGGATGTGTTCTGATGGATATTAAGTAGGACACTAATATCTTCATATTTTTACATTTTTACCCCTCCTGATAAGTCAATGCAGTTGTCTTTCTCTAAACTTCCTTGTCACTAATTTTTGTCTTCCCATAACCCTAATCAGGTCTTTTATTAGTTACTGTGCATGAGTCAGGTTAGAGCCATGCTTCAAGCCAATTCTCCTTCCACAAGAAGTAGAAACTAAGTATCTTGTTCAAAAGTCTGCCAACTGGGAGGATTTATGTTTTCTTTAGTCTTTTAATACCACTCCTCAGTCTGATTGTGGTACAGAGCCTATCCAATTCCAGAGCCTTCAAGTACATCATGCAAACCTGCCCATAAACCAGGCCTGCATTTATTTCTCCCCTGCCAACTTGTATTAGAAAACACATCTTGAGGTTTAGGTATGAGCTGAAGGAGAGAGGATAAAGTAGAGGATGCAATAATCTGGACATTTTACTTAATGTGTTCTACCCAATCCCATATATACCCCTTCCTCTAAAGCTTGTAATGCCTGTGTTTTGATTGCCAAATAATGAGTGTCAGAATCTCCACACAGCATCTTTGTTTACCATGCACCTTTACATTAGCAGTGTATCTTCTGGTTCACGAGGTAAAGGCAGTAGGGAAGGTTGTACGATGGCCTTGATCTGCTGCATAGCCCTTTCTTGCTCTGCTCAGAACAGGCAGCTTTATAGGTTATCTGGGAAGTAGAACAGGGCAACATATGTGAATATGGTTTAAGTTGTTATTCAAAATCAGAAGAGTCTATTCCCTCTTTACTTTTGCATAAGTACAATTCCAACAAATTTTCTCTCACTTTACAAGAGATATCCCAGTGTATACTATGCTACTAGATCTCTAAACTCTCCTCTAGGGATGTAGACTCTTAAACTTTATAGGAATTTATCTTCCACTCTGCCTTAATGAAGAGAATGCCTAGCTCCCTGGGATAGAGGTTGCCTCTGTCAGCAAGGAGACTTCTGGGAATTTTGAAGTTCAATATCTTCAGCCATAATATTAGACACATATGGCAACATTCTCCAATAATGTGTTATTTATGAGACTGGTCCAGAAAGCATAAGTATACTGCACATGTTTACCCAAGCATCTTTATCCTATGTGCCAGTGTCCCAGGACTTCTCCTCCAATATCTCTGTATTAGCTTTAAAAAACAACTGGAGTTGAGCCCCTAATTTGTGTTGTAGTTCTGCCACCCTTACTATGTTCTCTTGGACCTCTGCCTTATCTGCAACAACAGACGAGAAGAGAGGGACTCCTTCAAAGATGCCATGGTGATCTTTTTGTATTCTTGATTTTGCAGAGATGGTTTCCGTTTCAGTTTATCCCTATGGAATCTCCTTGAGGTGTCACATGAACCATGGGAGCTTCATTTTACAAACTTTACAGTTGCCACTATTGTAGCAATTAAGTGCCACAATCAGTTATCCTCCCCAAACCTTTCCTGTTTATCTGCATTTCATTCTGTATCATCACCAGTGACAATGGATTACTCATGAGTCCATCCATTGCTATAGATTATCTATGCTCCAGTTCCCTCCTGGAAAGGAGATGATTACATCAAAGATAGTACAAATAGAGATGGATATAGATATAGATCACCAACTTAATCTCAAACTCTAATTTTAAAGGTCCCTTTTCTGAGTCTCTTACTGGTATTCATCATGGTATCTGTCAGGGTACAAAGTTAGCACATTAAGTAATCTGAAGATTTATTTACAAAGAGACCACATTTACAAAGTGAAACCATAAAGGACAAAGCTATAATCTAGACTAGTAGCAACCAAGCTATAATCACCCCTGTGACCATAGAGATGAGTCATTACAAGATACAAAAGGAGAAAATTTCACAGAAGGGAGTGCATTGACAGGGGTAGTGACATCATTTAAAACCCACAGCTAGACTGAAGTGACATTTCAGGATACAGCCAAGGGAATACATATTCTGACTTCACTCTCCTCCTTGTAATCTCTTGCCATAGTACAATAAAGGCCATGCTCTGGAGGGCATGGCAGCCCTTCTGCTGTTGTTCACCCACGTTAATTTTCTGGACCAGAAAGCAGGTATAGACAAGTGAATAGTGGATCTGGGGTCACATGAAAGATATCCAGTATATTTCTCATTCTCTTTCTTTAGAGCTTAAAATAGTTTCATGAGTCTAGTGGGTATTCAACTTGTTCAATGATGAGAGTGCATATTTAACTTGTTTGATGATGGAAATATGATTGAAAGCAAATGTGAATGAATGGTGACATAAATACAGTTTTATGCCATATTTCAGTCTTCAGTTACTATTCTTATTCTTTTTACCCCAATAGTGCTTTCATTTTCTCTGTTCACACTGCTGACAGTCTATGAAATCCTGACTTCATTGCTTCATTCTTTCCTGCCATTGCATCTGCTTCTCCTGGGACTAAAAGCGTAACTCAGAAATACAGAATTCTCTATTATGTTGATAAAATCCAACCATTGTATAGAAAAAAAATGTATATGTGCAATGGAGATTTCAAGGACAGATGTTTGTGGGTCACTGAGCCCACATCTCTACAGTTGGTTTCAAATAACACTCATTTATTCTAGAGGAACTTCTGCATTCTCACATTGCCCACTGGTGGTCACCAGATGGAGAAAGGCTTGCCTTCCTGATGATAAATGATTCGTTGGTGCCTAACATGGTTATCCCTCGATTTACTGGAGCATTGTATCCCAAAGGAAAGCAGTATCCATATCCTAAGGTAAGTAACATGGATTGTTTGTTTGTTTGTTCTTTCTCTGCACCGGTGACTTGATTGATAGTATCCTTGCTGCATGAGCAAGTTGTCTTTGCAGAAAAACAAAAGGAAGCTTTTCACTCGTGGTCGGCAGATTCATTTTTTAGAGTTTGCAGTAGCCTGTACACAGTGTTCTGGTAGGAAGAAGTAGAGATGATTCAGGGCTTGGGAACTGCCACTTTTGCTGCCTTTCTTCCTCTTTGATTCTCTCATTCTTGTTTTCCCTTGCCTTCCCATTTGGAAAGAAAGTGAGAAAAGATAAGGGGCAAACATTATGCCAGGGCGCAGGTTTCTCCAAAGTACATTCTCTGTGTTAATATTTGTTATATTCTAGTTGTTACTAGGTGTTATAAGGGAAGAAAAAGTCCCATGGTCAAATAAGTTGAAAATTCTTAGTTAAAAATAAAATCCAACTTCTTACAGACGTTTTCTTAGAGCACTTAATATATTATATGTTAATGTACATTATAAATCTCCCATAAAAAAATTGACTAAGCATAAAGTATCTCCAGTAAGGAACAGACTAAACATAAAGAGTCACCAATAAAGAAAAGACTAAGCATAAAGAATTTATTAGTATTAGTATTACCCTCAGCATTATTTTGGCAGAGCATTCTCTGGAACATACTTTATAACGTGATGGGGTAGAGCCATAGCCAGACGTAGCTAAGATACATAGAATTGTTTTATTGAGTGGGGCAAATATGGAACTCTTGCCCAGTGAGCAAAACTATTTTCAAGTAGGGAGCAGGTTGCAAAAACATCTGGAGTGTAATGATTTTTTTTCTATTGTATGGCATTTTTGATAACTTAAGGGCTCTTTTTTAAAAATACATTCCCCCATGTTTATATTACAAAGAAAAAAGCTCATGAATGAGGCTTCCTAGGCATTAATCATGTAAAGATGTCTTATAGGAAAATTTTTAAACTCGTTTTACACATTTCAGCTCTTAATTAGGTAAGAGATGGCTGCTAATTCAATTTAGAAGCTATGTTTTTTAAAGATTTGATTTAGTTGAGAGAGAGAGAGCAAGCGAGAGAGAGAAAGCGTGAGCAGAGGGGAGGGTCAGAGGGAGAAGGAGAAGCAGACTCCCTGCTGAGCAGGGAGCCTGATGCAAAACTCGGTCCCAGGACCCTGGGATCATGATCTGAGCTGAAGGCAGACACTTAACCAACTGAGCCACCCAGTCCCCCTTAGAAGCTATTTTTAAGCCATTCCTTTAGTGAGTTGTACTGTTTCCCAATCACAATAGGTTTTATACCTTTCAACTTGTGTGTTACATTAATTGGTCAAGGTATTGGACAAATTATCCATCACACAGATTACTCTATACTTTCAGTAAAGGCATGGTTAGGGTAGGCATGACTTTTCTTATTTTCCTGTCATCCACCAAACTCAAGTACTTAAAGTAGGGAACGAAGGCGGGGGAGGGAGGATTCTTAGACAGTCTCACATCTTATATAGGTAAAGAGGGAGGGAGGGAGGGAGGATGAAAGACAGTCTTGAATTTAGAGAGTCTGGGATAAGAAGAGAGTTTCCTCAGTGAGATTCTGTACTGTCTGGTTTTCCTTTTTTTTTTTTTCCCCCTCTCAGTCCTACCTTCCTTCCATAGATTGTGGTATTAAATGACTGGCTTATAGCTGAGAAGGACAACAAGATTGGGAGGAATCTGATTCTATGATTTTGAAATATTATTTTTAGGGTCTTCTCTGAACATAAATTAGAAGACACATATACTCAGTGCTCTTCAGGAGAATATGGCAACTTGACCTAACAAAAAAAAAATAATCATATTCACCGAGAGATTTTTATGGTACTTCAGGTACTTTACTTATGACTTCTCTATTATAGATTTAGTCATGTCTGATGAATGACAGTTTGTTCCTATATAGCATAGCTGTACCTTTTTTGACTTCTCAAATGTATTAATTCTCACATCATTTGATTTAGTTATGATAATGAAAGTTCACCTGACAGTTTAAATACAAAACCAAGTGGCATATTGTGGGAAGCATATGTGAATAGGCAAGATATTCACACACAACTGTTCAGTTTGTTTACTGCACAAAGGGAATAAAATCAGCCCCAGGGAAGGAACAACATTTTGTCATTCATTTCCCAAGAGGAGTGGTGATCTTAGGACTCAAAACGTAAGAGCCAGATGCCATAGGTGTGTTTCAAACTGCCTTCTCAGTTAGGGGCTGCTTGAACTTGGACACTCCTAGGCCTCATAACTTTAACAGACTGAGGCAAACAAATAGACAAACAGAAATGTCTGAGAAATTTTAATTCATAAGATACTGGGTTGACAAGCCTAGACACTTTGTTATTAATGTTATTATTTTATTAATTATTTAATATTTCTTAATAGTAAAGCTAGGCATAAAATAATAATGTTTGCTATTGTATAAATCAGGTGTGCTAATGATATGCTTCATATTTTCAGAGAGACTTTTCACTTTTTTTTTTCCTTATTTGAACCTCTTCACAATTGCCTCCATTTACGAATGGACAAACCAAACTCTCTAAAAGGCTAAGTGCTTTTATAAAAGTCACAGTTATTTTGAGAACAGGGAAATAACTCAAATTTATTGATTCTGTCCCTCTCCGTAAAACTACCAGAGGTTAACTTTTATCTCTGAAGACATAGCTGGAATCAAAATTATCTTCTTGTGGAGCTAACAAATATTTGTAGAGCTCTGTTTGCTCCATTTACTCCTAATGACTTAACTATATATATAGTAGGATATACGTAGGATTCTTAGACAGTCTCACATCTTAGAGAGAGAGAGAGAGAGAGAAATAGGGATTTGTAATACAAATTAAAGTCCTGAGTGTGTGTTAATGACTACCACTGAGGAGTATTAAGCATAAAAACAGGTAGCTATTCCTGTGGCCAAGCCAAGAGAAAGAATCCTAAGTCCTCAGGAGGTTTTTAGTAGGAATCCCTGCTCAGGTACATAAGACAACAGGACTCAAAGAAACAAGATGAGGGCTTGGGCTTGATCCTTGTTCTCAGATAAGTTTCATATCATTCGGGGTATATTACTTGAACTTTGAAAGTCTTACTATTTTCTACTCTGGTTTAAAAAAAAAATGTTTGCTAGTTCTGCCACTAACAACTATATTATTTTGATTTGCTCTTACTTTTGTAATAAACTTATAAAAAGTAGTACTTTCAACACTGAAGTAATTCATAGAGTTCACACTAAATTGTGCTTCAAATTAAACTAGATTAAAATGAGTGCAGCAAATACTCAATGTGGTCAGATTTACTACTGAAATACTTACACTAAACAAATATATTTGTATTTTACTTAATTCAGCATGATTCAGAACTCATAAAATACCCTATCATTAGCAATTCAGCATGAAAGAGATGCACAGTTCTATCTCAGTAACCTCAGGTTAATCTTCTTAATTAAAGCATTATCTCATTTAATGACAATTTAGTTACCAGTAAAATAAGGTTAATTATTATTGAGGCTTGTGTTTCAGAATCATAGAGGAAGGATTCTGTAGATATGCAGTCTTTCTGGCAAATGTGACTGTAGAAAGCAAATAGATGAACTCTTCTAATTTGCAAACTATTGAAATGATCCAAATGTTAAAAAAGGTACAAATGAACTTGCAATGTGCACTTAATTTCAAAACTCCATGGAGAGATAAAAATCTAATTGAGATTGTAGAATGCTGGATGGCTGAATTTTCGAAACAACCTGATGTTTGTTTTTTGTCTAAAATTGGCCACATTGTATACAACTTTTAATTTGTTCCCATGTAAAAGCTAACTGGGATATCAGTGATCCTATGCAGGTATAAGCATACAGAGCTGCAGACATTTAAAAAAAAAAAAAAAAAAACCTGCCTTATGATATGGTAATAACCATATATGTCTTTGACAAAGGATGTCATAAAATTATTCATCATTGATAAGAACTGACAAAAAGATCAAATTTCATTTAATTTCTCTTTTTCTTAATGAGCTTATTGAAGAATTTTAAAAATTGGGGCAGAATTTTTCATCAACTAGAAAAGTCAGTGTTTTAATAACTGTCTTTCTAATTCACTACTATATACTATTTTAGACATTTTTAATCTTTTTTGTTAGTCCACATAACAAAATTATAAGATATTTATAGCTACAGAAAGGAAACCTGCTTTGGCTCAAAACTTCTGACTTGTGACATATTCTCAGCAAAGTATTGTCTCATTTTTGATAATCCAATAAAATGACACTTGAGGATCTTTAACATCTTGCCCACGGTCTATATTCAGTAAATAGCAGTCAAAATGTAAACCCAGGTTTCTCTGACTCACAGGTTAAGCTAAACCAGTTCTCACAATGTGGTACTTTTACCAGCAGTATCAGTCTCATCTGGGAGACTGTTAGAAATGAGATTCTCATGTCCCGGGACATGAGAAATGCTGGGTAAATTTTGTTAAACAAGCCCTTCAGTCCTCTGGGTAATTTTTTTTTTCTTTTTAAAAAAGATTTATTTATTTATTTTAGAGATAGAGAGTGCCAGTGGAGGGAGGATCAGAGAGAGAGGGACAACCAGACACCTAACTGAGTGCAGAGCCTGATGCAGGGCTCGATCCCAGGACTCTGAGATCATGACCTGAGCCAAAACCAAGGCTGACGCTTAACTGACTGCGCCACCCAGGGACTCTCTGTGTAATTCTGATGCAGACTGACACCTTTGATAAGCACTGAGCTGTAATATATATTATTATGTACATATATGCATCTGATAACGTATATATTATTGGATATATATGCATTACTACATATACTAGTAATAATATATATTACTGAAAAATATATATCAATGTCTGTTTGTAAATTTACATACTATTATAGTTATCTGAGAGTCTTATCTGAGAGTCTTATTAAAATACAGAATCCAGGCCCACACCTAGAGATTCTGATTTTTGAGTCTACGTGGGGCCCATAATTTGTGTTTCTAAGATTCTAGGTGATGCTGATGGATGCTGCCAAAGATCAATACTTTGAATGGCACTACTGAATATTACGTCCCAGCTCTAATTTTTAATATACCTGGTCAAATTAGAGAAACGGTTAGATTGAAAAATATGGATAAGGCCAATATTTGCAGGGAGGATCATGGCAATTAAATTGAAATGGGAGTGATGTGAAAGGGAGCTCCTGTGTGTGGTAGAAGGCTAAGTTGCCCAAGACAAATGTGCCCAGGCACTTGAGGGGTTTAGAACAATGAAAAGCTTTATAAAATCTGACGTGAGAGCCTTCTCTGTGAGGCAGGATCATAGCTTATCTTCCAGGAAGCCCTTCACTATATAAACCATTTCCATAATCTCTCTTTATAGCATTGTGTTTCTGTACTGAAGGACTTTCCTGATTCCCTTGGCTCAAAACTTCTGAGTTGTGTATGATGCACCCCTACAGATGTGCTAGTCATTTGTTTACACCAAAAACTAATGATGTACAATATGTTGGCTAATTAAATAAAAAAGGAAAAGACTCTATTTTTTATTTTTTTTAATATATATTTATTTATTTGAGAAAGAGAATGAGATAGAGCATGAGAGGGGGGAGGGTCAGAGGGAGAAGCAGACTCCCTGCTCAGCAGGGAGCCCGATGCGGGACTTGATCCCGGGACTCCAGGATCATGACCTGAGCCGAAGGCAGTTGCCCAACCAACTGAGCCACCCAGGTGCCCAAGAAAAGACTCTATTTTTTAGAGCAGCTTAAGGTTCACAACAAAATTGAAAGGTAGAGAGAATTTGCATATGCCACCTGCACCTACACATGCAGAGCCTCCCCCATTATCAGCACCACTCACTACAGCAGTACATTTGTTACAACTGATGAAGCTACACATCATAATCACCCAAAGTCCATACTTGACGTTACAGTTCACTATGGGTGTTGTACATCCTCTAGGTTTGGACAAATCTATAATGACATGCATCCAGCATTATGGTATCACACAGTATTTTTCACTGCCCTAAAAATCCTCTGGGTTCCACTCATTCATTCTCTTGCCTTCCCCCTGTACTAGTTGTATTTACTAGCCTAACAACACAGTCCTTGAAGAGCTATTACAGACTGTTGGTGGAATGTATTATGTTGCTTCTGGTCCTGTTCAACTTTGGGTTTTGTCAATGCCAATTACTTGAACATGGATTTTTCTTTCTCATCTTTAAATCACTTTTGTAATTCTCCTTAGATTTTTGTCAGTCTTCTAACTCAACCCACTTTTAATTTCCTTGTCTTTCTTTGTACATCTCATATAGTCTTCTAAAACATCAGCCACTCCACAAGGACATATCAGTATTTTGTTTAGGAACACATTGTGCCACAAGTAGTCACTGATTCTATACATCATTTATTCATATAAACATTCTCCTATTCATTCATTCAAACTGCTTGAGATATATTGGTAAAAGGTCCCTTTTGTGCCCTCTACAAATTCATAGTATTTGAAAAATTGTGGAGGCCATTGCCTGGGAATGAACTGAAGCAAAGCATAGCAGGAAGAGCATCCTGGGTTTAAATACCAGCTTCCTCGGTTATTGGATATCCATCTTCCACAGTTTGCTGAGCTTCTCCATTGTCATCTGGAAATGGTTGTAATTACTCTTAGGATGGAAGTAAGAATATTTAGTAGGATTATTCATGTAGAGCCTTTACTACATACTTGAGCCAGAAACATACCAATGCTCTAGGCTAGTTATTACTGATTCTTGTCACTGTCTTTCTACTCATCTGACTACATACTTACTGAGGGCATACTGCTCTGTGGCCCACCACCTCCCAAGGGGCACTTACACCGGACCCCATCCGGTATTCACTAAAGTTTAAAAGGAAACCTGGGGGAAGGGAAGGAAAAATAAGATAATAACAGAGAGAGAGGTAAACCATAAGAGACTCCTAACTATAGAGAACAAACAGGGTTGCTGGAGGGGGGGTTGGAGCGGGGGGATCAGATAATTGGGTGATGGGCATTAAGGAGGGCACTTTATGTAATGAGCACTGGGTGTTATATGCAACTGATGAATCACTAAATTGTACCCCTGAAACTAAAAAAAAAAAAAAGGAAACAGGAATGTAGGAATGTTTAATGCAATGGAATGGATTAGGTATTGGGGAATTTTAAGCATGTGTCACCCAGATTGGCAAATCTTCTTTATCTTTTTCTTCTTCTTTTTTTTAATTAGCCAAGCTTTTTTCTCACTGTGTATCTTATCCTATAATGTGAGTAGCCGCTTGTTCTACTAGTTGTTTTGTTAAGCCAGCCCTCCTGGTGTCATTCCAGGGAAAGAATACAGTAGCACTGCCTAATGAATAACTCATCATGATTTTCCGTCACCTTTAATTGTCTGACTAAAATGCTTGAGAAAAAGCAATCTACAAAAACAATTGAAGGCAATCAGGTTGTTGGAATTTAAAATCATTTCTACTTCAGAGAAATTAAACTTTTTCCCTGTTCTAATACAAAATTAGAATCACACCACATTTTCTTTTTTTCTCAATATACTTAATGCTTAATATATTTGTATCACAATCTTCATTTTCCCAAAGGCAGGTCAAATGAACCCAACCATCAAATTATATGTTGTAAACCTATATGGACCAACTCATACTTTGGAACTCATGCCACCTGACAGCTTTAAATCAAGGTATGCGATTTCCATTTTACTTTTACTTGGAAATAGTTATTTTAACTTCAATTATCATTTTATTGCAATTCAGAGAGATGTGATCAGCTCAACAAATCCACTTGAAAATAAATCTGAGGTTGCCCCATTAGTGCAGGAATGAACTCATTCTGGGCTTCTTGTTGTTCCCAGGGAGCATTTAAAGTTTCAAGGTGATTAGCAGCACCAGAAAATGACTAAATGTAGTGATATTGCGAATTAGACTTGTTGCAGGAGATGTGACAGGGAGATGGGGGCAAAGGATAATTTTCCATTGAATGTTCTTCCTGAAAATAGTTATTCCATTTTTTTTAAATGGTCCTCTTTAAAAGAGCACAATCTTCCTAGAATTTGTGTAGTTTTTCCAGCAGAAATTATCTCCATAGCTTGGGAGTGATTCCCTAGCTTCCTCCAGGCAGGGAAGTGTAATGAGATGTTGTTTCAAAATATCCTATATAAGAAGCCTTCTTATTTAAGAAGTTTAAATGGAGAGGGGAAAAAAAAAAACACATTTTATGTCAGAAGCATAATTTTAATATTAGTACAATCTCCAATAGCACACAATGAATCAAATAACCATGTGGATTTTAAAATTCAGAGTGGTCTCAAACTTCAAGGGTATTAATTCAAATAGTGCAACCCTTTGAAACTTTACAGTGGTCCTGGAGCTGGAATAGGTAGCTGATTTAGGAAAATATTTTCACACTATTGAATGATATGGGGCTAAGCTCAAATTTTGTTTTGATGCCATCAACAAAGAGTGCTAGGAGACTGATTCAAATATAAATTCCACTCAAACGCTGTTCCATTGATGTATTTGGGAAAATTCCATCACGGTTGGGGATTTTCACAGACAGTGCAGTCTGCAGTATGTGGAAAATTTCCCTCCTGTAAAGTTATTAAAAATTTATGGACTGTTTATACTGGAAGGGCACTCATAACTACCTAATACAATCTGTTCCTATTATTGAGGGGAAAGATGGGGCCCAGAACCCCAAGATTAGTTGGTAACAGAGGTAGAAAATATGGTAAAGCCTGTTTCAAGTTATAGGGCATTTCATGCAGGTCATGATGGAAGACCTTACAGGGCCATTGGAATTGACATTTAGAATGAAATAGAGTTGACCAAATCAGATAGGAACTCTACTGAACTTGATCTACCAGCCATGAAAGAATTAGTCACAAATGAAGCAATTATGGAAGCCATTAGTATTTTATGTGGTCCTGAGCCCTTATCTTTTTCTCTGATTTGTTTAATGCTCTGAATTAACAGGAAAGGGCACTAAACTGGAGTGTTTGAGTCACATCTCTGCCACCATTTCATTATGTGAACTTGGACAAGTCATTCTGCCTCTCTATGAGTCTGAATAACCTCATTTTAAAGTAATAATTTTTCATTTTCATCAGTCTTTTGAGATATTTGAAATAGAAATCAACTTTACAATATCTGGCTTTCTTTTTAAGAAAAAGTAATGATTCTGGACCTTGATGTTATAATCCAAGAGGTTGCTAGTGGATTCTCCAGATAGGATATAGTAATGTCAGCAAACACAAAAATTCTTAAAGACAGAATCAGTTGTCATTTATTGGGTTATTAGTTAAGTATATATCTGTAATATTTGAAGTACAATATGGTAAAATTAGTCATCCCTGACAAAAAGGTATCACATATCCTTAGATATAAATCCAATACACAGAATAAAATATGAGATCCCACTAAGAGTGAGGAAGAATCTTGTGAAGAAAAATCTCTTAAATGTAACCCAAGTATATTGGTTTAGTGATGAACTTGGTCTACAATTTGGGGAAAGTCATATAATACCTTATCTATAGAATGCACCAAACAATTTTGCTCTTTCTCCCTCAAGGTCTTATGTAAGTGCCACCTGTGGCATATGAAATGTACCAAAATGTATGATTTTTGTTGAAAAGCTCAAGATCAAAGTTTACTTCAAAATTGATATTTTTAAGTATTACCCTGGTTCAGTTTTACAGAAATGTATTTCCTTACTCATCTGTTTCTGGTAGGAAGTTTCAGTCCAATTCACAGAAGAGTAATAAATGAATTTTAGATCATCTGCATTGAGTCGCTCTGAGCACAGGTGTTACTTAGATGGGCTCAGAAACATACAAATGAACAAAATAGCTCAATGGTGTGAATTAAAGAAAGTTGCATTCATCTAGCTGCACATAATATGGAAACCAAACTGCTTTTTTCTCCTTGGTTTTGTTTTAGGATTATGAACATCTCTAATATTTAATACATGGTATGTTAGCCATATAGAAATTAGCTAGAAAACTATTGTGCCCTCCTAGTTAGAGATCTAAAAGAGCATGTCATTTTTCATAATTTAGTGGTCAGGGTCCTAGAAATTAAACAGATGACACACTCAAGTAGGGTAAGTGAAACGCAGTTAATTAAGGGACTATTAACAAAAATGTGAGCAGGATTAAGGGGAAATTCACAAAGGATGAGAAAGCAACTTTGAGTCTGCATTAGGGGAAAGCTATTGCTGTCTCAGGACTGAAGGAATGAGGTGCAGGCTCAATTATGAATCCTGAAGAGGCCTGGGGCTGAAGAACAGGATGGACCAGGAGTACCTGTTCACAGATTGAGCAATTCAGTCATTGCCAAACCACACCCTAGTAGGAAGCAGATCCTGGGAGTTAATACCCTGAACTCTCTCTCCTATCAAACTTGGAGTTCCTGCAGAGGCCTTCCCCTGGCAAGGCAGCCTCACTGTAGAGGCCAGCCTCTGGAAACTGCATGGGGAGAGCTGGAGAATGGACCTGGCAAATGGAGAATATTCCATATAAATAATTTAAGGATAATATTTGCCATAAGAAGTTTATTATACTTTATGCATGTGTTGGCGATGACCACATGAGCACACAATGATTTTTCTGAAGCCACATGAGAGTGTTCTGTATCTGTCTGGTGCTGTTTGTTTCTATTTATGTCTCTCTGTATCTTCCTCTGTGTGTGTGTGTGTGTGTGTGTGTCTTTCAATCTCTATTTCTATACAGACACACAAACACACTCATATGCAAACACATACACACATCTATGATTTATCTAACTAATGCATGTGCTTCTCTTACAAACCTGCCATATTTTTCTCATGTGCACTGTGAGCCACGCAACTGATGGTGTTTTAACTAAGTTGCATTAATGTACTTTGGACCTGGAGTTTACCACAGTAACTAACACGTTTCCCTCTCTAACTTATTTGCCTTTTTCTCCTCCTAACTTACTTTACCATGTTATTCTTAAATCTTTCTAAGCTAACTCAAATTCTTTTTTATATTTAAAAAATTTTAAATATATAAATATATAAGTTAAATTTTTGGTACCAGTATTAGTAGCAGTATTCTCATATTTATTAGTGACAGTATTCCTACAAATTCCAGGAAATACAAATCATTTTTTTTATTTTTTTAAACGTATAAGTATAAACATGCAAAAATTAACTTATTAGTAACATACTTCCTCCATGCCCTATTAAGACCATCAAATGTTCTCTCTTTTTTTGGAGTTTCTGTTGTGTTCGTAGCTATTCATATCATTTGAGGTTCTATTTAAACTCTCAATTAACAGTATACCCAAATAATTATTTGATTCTGTAATAATTTACTTGTTTACTTTTTTTGGATGTTATCTAAGCATCTATGTTTTACATTATCTTTAGATATACATATGGCAATTAATGAATTATATTCTATTACTCTGTGCAGTTACAAACTTTTTTTTTTTCCTTTTTGGTCCTTCCTTTTTTCCACTAAACTTGAACTTCATCTCTTATCCTTCTTTTTTCTCTCATAAAATCACCACAGTGGCTATAATAATTATTGAATATATATGTGCACACCTAAATAGGGAGGAAGATTTATAAGATAAATAGAAAGATGGTCTCTTACGACTTGAGGTACCTTATAAACTGTATTCTTTGACTCCCACTCCAAAGAGCAAGATTTTTTAGAATTTGAAGATGTTAAATCATTTGTTTTGGTCTGTTGACTGTTTATTTGGTTGATTGATTGATTTGTAACAACTCATGTTTATAAGTATAATAGAAATATGTCTCCAAGCTAGAACCAGCATTCAGTAGACCTTGCTTAACACCAGGTACTTAAACTTTAGTCAAAGAATGTAAAATAAATTTCAATTCATTTATATGGCTTTAAAAAGAAATTAAAAAGGGGGGAGCAAGATGGCGGAGGAGTAGGAGACCTGGATTTCATCTGGTCTCAGGAATTCAGCTGGATAGGGATCAAACCATTCTGAACACCTATGAACTCAACAGGAGATTGAAGAAAAGAATAGCAACAACTCTCTGAACAGAGAAGCGACCACTTACTGGAAGGTAGGACGTGCGGAGAAGTGAATCCGAGG